GTGTCATCGTGTTTCTTTGCAGCATTTTTGCATCTCGTTGTAGTTGTTTTAAGCTAGTCGTAGTCATTTGGTTTCTCTTTACAGTTGTGTTGCATCTCGTTGTAGCTGTTTTATGTCTCTTTGCAGTTGTTTTGCATCGTTTCGTACTTGTTTCGCTGTATCTGTAGTCTTTTTGTGTCTCTTTGAGGTCATTCTGAGTCTCTTCCTGGTTTATTTGTGTCTCTGTGAGTGACATTTTACAGCTGAAGGCCAGGAGGGCCCCGGACACTTTGGGCCCCTGCCGTGCACACTGTCGGCTCATTCAATATTCCATCCGTGCCTCAACGGTGCATCAAGAATCTAAAGTAAGTAAATGTGTTAAAACTCTGTAAATGTTTGAGCACATTCGGAGCATCATGACTGATACGCAAACAACTGTAGAAGATTAACTCAAGACGTACTCGGGTTAGAGGTCTCTTAAATAACACACTTCAGAATGTTTAACCGCGTGTGCTGTTCTGATTGCACAACAACGCAGGAACACATTCATGTTACAACCGGAGAGGTTCGGATGTTTTATGAGTTTGAATAAAAGGACACACGATTAAGAAAGGGCCATTTAAAAGACATCACAATCTATCTACCTGTATGTTTTATTATAAACACTGTGAGAGCACACATGCAAGAGTGATCTCATGTATTTAAAATACAGTATGTGACATGTTTGTCTGAATGCAACTATTGCCTTTTTGATCTGATTTTACTTCATTAAAAGTAGTCGTACCGCAGTGTAGAAATACTGTCTTACAAGTAAAAGTACTGCATTCAAAATGTTACTTAAATACAAAAGTATCAGCATCAAAACATACTTGAAATATCATAAGTAATAGTACTCATTATGCAGAATAATATATATGATATTACTGGATTTTAATTATTGTGTTCATGATGTATTCATCACTTTAATGTTGCAGCTGATCAAAACGGATGAAGATTACAGAGTACAGAGAAGAAGACTTCCCTCTGAGATCTAGTAGAGTTGAAGTATAAAGTAGCATAACATGTACAAGTACCTCAAAATTGTACTTAAGTACAGTACTTGAGAAAATCCGTTTAGTAACTTTCCACCACCTGAGACAATAGAAGTAACCTTGATTTTAAAACCAAATACTTTTCAAATATCTTCAAATAACAGCCTATAAATACAACATGGGGTTCATAATGTTAGATTCTTATTTTTACGTGTTGCTAAATCCCAATAGGAACGGTCCTTCTGATAACGTTAACCTGCAGGTATTATTTACACAGATTACAGGGGAACAGAATAAAATAGATCTGTTATTGATGTTCTTTGGCGTGTTTATGCGTTTTCTGTACCAGCTGGGAAGGTACTTTTACTAAACACACAGAGGTTTAACATTCCACAGAAGTGACCTGATGTAAAGAGACGCATGCAGCTGCAGGTCCGACACCAGTTTCCTCCTCGTTCCTTCTGAACCTGTTTGCATTCTGAGAGGTCAGTTTACTGCAACTCTCTTCCTACGCCCACGTCTTTCTTTACATGTTCTCCCCTCGTGTCAACATCTGCAGCACTTCATCAGGTCCACTCCCCCCATCTTCATCTCACCTCCTCACTATGTTTGAATTAAGACAGACTTGACAGGAAGTGGGGCACAAAGTGGATGTAAGTCGAGAAAAGATTCCTCTCGCAAAAATAAGCCCACCATGAATCACCTTTCCCCCCCCGACTCTAAGCTGCATCAACACACCAGCTGAGACAGTTTTCACAATCTGCGAGTAATTACAACCAGTGTTTTTATTTGTGTGGCACATTAACGGGCACTGAAGAAACCTCCTCCCTACTTTATAAAAAGCACTTTGCCTCTGCGTCCACACTGAGCTGGTGTTTTATTAGACCCAGAAACGGAGCTTTTCTCCCGTTTAGATTCATTTAAAACGCCAGCTTCCTGTTTTAGTGTAGACGTGGGAAAAACCTTTTGGAAAACAAGGATTTAAATCACTGCAGAAACAGAAAGAGATGTATGTTAGATTGTAAGTTTGTTTTAATAAACATAACAAGGGTTTGATTAGATGAGATTCTTTATATCAGTTGTGATGTACTGTTTGTTGTCCAAGTCCTAAAACAGAGAAATGAACTTCCTGTTCTCTCGTCTAGTAAATGTGTTTTCTGAATGTTTTTGGTCTGTGGTTAAAACAAGCTGAGGAGATTTTAACGTTTTAATTCTACGATATAAAGAATCATAAACGTTTGTTTGCCACAGAGATTATCTTCTGCAATAAGCTAAAAGACAATGAAATACTTTCATTGTCTTTTTGTTGAGGGAACCAGTGTGTTGCTAAATACGTCCTGCAGCACTTTGTAGCCTCGCACTTTTAGCTCTATGTTTGGTCTCCACCAGCACCTTCAGCTGCTAAATGCTCCAGAAAACAACTGCATTTAGATATTGTTTCTGGAATTATTATGGGAAAAAATATTTTGCAAGTGAACTCATTCTAAATGAACAACAACAACAACAACAACACAGCATCAGTTGGTTTATATCTTTACATGTTGCTGCTTTCGTCTGGTTCACTGTGTGAAAGTCTTTTCAAAACGTACAGTACACATTTACTTATGACACCGTCAGTACTGACATCATGAAGAAGTGTGTGTGTGTGTGTGTGTGTGTGTGCTGTACCAGTTATGCACAGGGCAGACATGCTGGTTGTACAGGGACATCGCGTATCTGTAAGTTAAAGGAGAGAAGAAGAATTGGTCAAAAAATGAAGACATGAAATAGATGACTTTGATATATATTTATTAATGTATGATATTATCTTTCATGCGATAACAGCTACACTCCTAAAACATGGCTGTCAGTTAAACAAAGAATAAATAAGCTACAAAAGTGCTGTTTCACCAGTGAAATGAAGCACGTAAAACCACGTGACATGTAGACAGATTGACGCTGTTCCAGCCTCTAAAGTACAACTTTACTTTTTCACTAACAAAACACGCGTCACATGAATAACCTCAGTGTTGACTTCACAGACTGAGGTCGTCTGTGTTCGTCATACGTGTACGCAGAAGCTGCTGGCTGTACTTTAACCAGCGCTCTGACAACAGAGGAGCTGCTTCTTAAATCTCCTAAATGTGTCAGCGACACAATAACCACAAACACAAACCTGAGATAATTCATTAGACACATAAAAACACTTGGCGACACATTCAGGCCTCGGGCCGAGAGTCGTCCAGACGAAGCACAGAGCAGCACATGTTCTGGTCCAGCCGGAAATATCGCAACAACCATCGAATGGATTTCCAGGACATTTTGTACGGACATTCATGGTCCCCAGAGGATGAATCCTACTAACTTTGGAGATTCTATTGTTAAAGAGACATAAGGGCAGAAATTCAGAGGAAAAAAAGTCCGTTTTGAGCAACTTCAGTGCGCCGGGCCGCTAGCGTGACTGTAGCTCTTTGATTCATCTTTTCTCTGTAGTCACATGGCAACAATGTCCTCTGAGGCTTAATCATATCAAGAGAAAAGATAGCAGAGATTAAATCACTGGAACACGATACGCAGACAAATCAACAACACAAGCTGCTCACAAATGTCTCAGCAGAAACTAAACAGGAGACATGTGGAGGTTGGAGTGCGTCTATTGATCGCTGATAACAAGATCCGGTCAGGACAATTGATTTGCCTTAACTTGAACAAACTGTGATGAACTGTGGTCGAGGACATCACAGCTTTTTGATTTAAATAAAAGTGACAAACGTGCAAATAAAAGAATCAATGTGCTGTAGAAGTGTGTGTGAAGGCTGTGTGGCGTCACTCATTACCAATAAACATTGGACCACAGAAGTGTGTTGTTTTTGTAGCCCTGAGAATTTCTCTGACAATGAATTACCTGCACGACCTCTTTGTTGTGATTGAATCACCATTTTGCTCACATAGTGGAGTTTTAAAATGACGGGTTTCTGCAGGAATCTAGCGTTGAACGGTTCAATGTGATGCAGAAGAAGTCAGAACTTCAAGTTACAGGGAAACTTTTCCTCCAAGTTTTTTTTCCGTCTATGATTTGACTAAAATTCTGTGCAGGGAAAACAAAAGCACTCGCTGCTACACGCTGAATCATCGCTTCCACCACGAACAGCAGCTCTTATTGTGGACTGCTGTTCATGTGCAGAGCTGCAGATGTGAGTCAAACAGATGCAGGGACACGCAGACCAGACAGACCGAGAAGGAATGTCAAGGATGAATCTCCTCCGGCGCAATCGTAGAATAAACAGCGAGCCGTTACTCTCCCTCTTCCCAAAAAAGGAGACCGGTTTACTTTCACAAACTTTGTAGAGCCGGTGGAGGTCATCGCGATCACAATCAGCCTCTCTGTTAACGTATGGACAGCTGGAGAGCAAACGCTGAGGTACTCACACGACCCAGATCCCAGTGATGGTGAAGACGGGCAGGCTGATGGGAAGGATCATCCACAGGGACATGACGGCCACCTGGAGGGGAACGACAAACAGCATCAAACACCTGCAGGACCGCGGCCGTCAGCACCAGAACCACCAGAAGAACTGCAGCACAAGATTACCTGGTTGACTGATTCAGCAACAACCATTTCCATAGTCAGTTCTAATGATGCTAGTTGTAGTGATACTGGATGCAACTTAAACCAAAGGGCCACTGATGCATCATGGGTATGTGGTTTACGCAGGCAGAGGAGTCCATATGTCCACGCAACATGTCTGTTTCTTAAGACTCATCCAGCAAAGAACAAGCACGCAGCAAACAAAACAACACAGAAATCATTCCCATTGCTGCCTCTACTGCGCTGGTACAACAACAACAACAACAACAACAACAACAACAACAACAACAACATAGGCCCACCAGGTGCACGCTGGTCCTATACCTGCCTACTCAGGTATAAATATAAATACATATATATAAATATTTAGTTGTTCATGGTTTAATCTATTGATCCATAAAATCCTGTAAATACCATACCCACGAAATAAAAACCCACGAAATAAAAACAAACTGTGAGAACCATTCAAACCATTTCATTGGTTATAAAAATGTTCACAGTCTGTTTTTTTCTCTGCAGTGTGTTCCTTTAATAACTTCCTTTAATAACTTTAAATCAGACTATCAGGACAAAAGAGATGCGTCTACATGCACTACTTCAAGTCTACTTAAAAACAACAACTCAGAAAAACTACATTTTACAAGCACAAAACGACCACTTCCCTTTTCCTTTGCTCCGTTACTTCCCCTGCAGAAGTCGTTGCCTGTGCATGCTCTACGTGCAGCTCTTCCACAGACTATCGTGACTACAGGAGGACAGGCAGCGCACCTCTGGTGTGTCCCGCTGGAAGCAGCTTCAGGCTCTCCTCCTCATCGCAGCTCCTCCAAACTCGAGGAAAAGTTGCATCGCGTCGCTGCTCGTCTGAGCTCCTCCGCATCCACTGATTTCATGGTCGAGACAGCGACAAAGTCCCATCATCCGGGACCTTGTTTTCATTCATCACACACACACACACACACACACACACACACTGAGACTGTCCTCCGTCTGCAGCCCGGCTGTTGTGATCCGACCTGGAGGGAGCAGCTGGAACCAGTACCGTTAACTCCTCCCAGTAACACGGAGGCTTAAAGAGGCAGCTGAGGGGGTTTAAAGACACTTCTTTTATTTCACTGCTGTTATGAAATTAATATGTTTTGTCTCGTTTCATAACTTTAGATGAGGTCATATAGACGTGTGTGTGTGTGTGTGTGTGTGTGTGTGTTTTGTTCTAAGTCTAAGTCCTGTAGACTGATTGAACTGATGAATCACTGAGGTGTGGATGTGTAATCTGGTGTTTTCTCTTCTCCCTCAAAGTTGACATGATGAAGATAAAAGAAGAAAAACAGAGTTCTGCCTATCTTTATTTTATTGATTTAAAAAAATTATTTTTTTCATCTTTGCATGAAGTTTAGATTAAACATTGCTCACGAGAAAGGTCAAGGGTCACTGGTTTCATCTTTAACAATGAGTTTTTATTAAAGTAAACTATAAAGTAAAAGTAACTCCAGCTGTCAGGTAAATTAAGTCAGTAAAAAGTACAATATTTCCATCTGAAAATACTCAAGTAAAGTACAAGTACCTCACATTGTACGACTTAAGCGCAGAACTCGAGTAAATGCACTTAGTTGCCTTCCTCCACCACTCAGCATCTTAACGGACATATTTATAATATTAATAATAAAGTTTGGAAATAGCATTTCAATAAAGCAGGAAGAGGTTCATTATATTTTCTGTTAAACACACTTAAAATGTGCACACACAGAAAAGAAACAGTGATGAGAGACTCATCCATCTGCTATCATTTCTCAGAACTTTATTTTGGCCTGTGTTCTGATTTACCCAACAACACTTGAACGCAGCTTCACGTGGCTCCTCCCGTGCATCACTGCGCAGATTCCACAGCTGTCTCCAATTAACGTGTTTTACTGTGTTTTACTGTGTTTTACTGCCTCAGTTACATCGCACACTGCTGCCGGAGGAAACCATGACACCCGACTGCCGCCACGCGAGGGCGCCCCAGGCTTTAAATGATGAGAGACAACGTCTATAAACTGTGGTTGTGAACTCATTGGTGAGTTTATGGGGATCCTAGTGCAGACAACTTCCTGTTCATGTAGGTTTTCAGATCTTTTACTTGAGTAAAATTCAGCAATGTCTTTGCTGTAATTCAAAGTCAAGGGACATTAACTCATTTTAATCTTTTAATAATTTGATTTCACTTTCTAATAAGACACGAAGTCTCCATTTACATATCTTAGTATTTCCAGGATCAAGACTTCCACACTCAATCATCTTGGTGCATCTGTTTTCATCACTTAATTGAAGTTGTCTAACAAAAAGAACTTTTATTTAGTGGTGGTTCTGGTGGTCCCTGTGGACTAAAGCTGTAGTGCCTCTGAGCACCAGAGTCCCTTTAGAAAACATCACGTTACTGCAGCAGGGTCTGACAGTCTGCTCCTCTCAGTCCTGGTTCTGGTTCTCCCGTGCCTCCCTTCCATCTAGCGGGTCCAGCAATACGTTCTGGGTCTCCAAGCTGCAGAGAAGCCGGATCTGGGTCTGTCCACGGCAGACCGGTCTCTGCTGGAGGATCTGGGTCTGTCCACGGCGGACCGGTC